CCTGCATGTCTTCTTTTCTCTTTCCCTTATCTGAGTTTGATCTTATCCAACTTTATTGATATAAAATGTATTTTGTGACTGTCGCCAGTGTAATCTTTACATGCTTTTACAGTTGAAGTCTTTAAAAAGTCGAGACTCAGTTTGTGTGGATTACAACATTTGTAGAGAAGCTGCCTGCGTAATGTATGAGCGCCGTCTAAATCTTTGTCCCCGTGTATGTAGCTCTGAGCCGCAGTGTGTGGAGAGGCCAAAAACAAACCAGGAATATGACTTTAGTGGAAATATTTGCATTGTTTTATTCACAGGTTGGCTTATTTTCTATCAGAGGCATCCAGGTACACCCAGAGTTACGTTTCTCTCCAACACAGCCTGGAGGTCTATGCTGTCGTCTGTCTTCTCAGTCCAGCGTTTTTTGGGGGACAGCTGCTACGTGAACAGTCGACCTTTTTAAACAGTGATTTTCACACAAACCAGCACTGACTTGTGGTTTTGGAACAAGATGGGCTCGATAAGCACTCAGCATTTTGGGCTAAACCGGTCTGGCTGTGTGGATTAGGTGGCGTCACTCGTGTTTTTCCAGTTTCGCTGCATCCTAAGGCCTTCTACTAAATCGTGTGTGTTTGCACTGTAGTGTGCATATTTTTCTTTCATTGTACTTGTTTGTCTGCGCCTCACTGTCTTCCTGCAGGACAATTTCATGGCACTGACGTGTCTTTATTTTAAAAAGCTACACATTGCTGCAGTCATGCTGAGGCTCGGAGGCTCGGACGGTTACCTTTGCAGTGTTGCAATGGATCCCTACCACACCTCGTCATAGCAACGGTTGCTATGTTTTAATGTGTCTACTTTGCTAGTGGCTTGAGTTGTGTGATCATACTTTATGGTATGTGTTTTTGTTTAAGCATGTGCATGTCTTTTATGGATCTATGGACAAACTGATCCCCGTGTAAATGAGTGAGTGCAGCCAGAGAGAGAGACCGCCCCCCCTATGAAACAGAAGATTTGGGGGGGTCACTAAAAATGGTCCTTATTTGTCTCTTATTTCCAAAACACTCAAACTTATGACGGGTGTGTAAATTATAGCCAAGTGTAACAGAGTCATATCTGGGCCTTTCACTGATAAACCATCTGCTTTTCAAGTGGTTTTTATCCTGTTTGATTCCTGTTCAGAGAAGCGATTCGTGTAATATGTTTGACTGTAAAGTTTCTGCCGAGGCCAAAGCAAGACGGAGTCAGCAATTATGTGTCAGATGTAGATGTGAGGAATTAGCCCTGTGTGTCTGCGTGCACATGTTTGTGTCCGTGTTTGCAGTTTTGCTTTGTTGTGGACGGTGCCTGTGGGCTCCTGGCTCACAGATGAAAGCCGTATCTCATGTGGCTGCTTCAGTGGAGCTCCTGAGTCAGCGTGCAGCTACTAATCAGTGTTTTCTCCTTCTCGGCTGGCGTGACTCTCTCCCCCTTACTCTACGGCCGGCCGCCATGTTAGCTTTTATTTGTAGAGTGCAGCCAGAATTGACTTTGGCTTTTTTGCTGTATTATATGTAAACAGTCCAAATAGGCCTCCGACTCTACCTCGTCGGGTCAACTTGGAGAAGGTAGAAGTGGTGAGGAAGCAAGGCGGGTGACGTGTGGGCTGCGAGGGATGGTGTGGTCATCCTAGCAGTTAGTCCGGTCAGTATGGCAGAGTAACGTAAGCTACACGTGGTGTCTGACATCAGGTTTCATTACACGACGCCCTCTGTGTCCACTGTGTTGAACCAGAACTGCATCTATGGAAACTGGCGTGAAGAATTTCAGAACACATCGCTATTATTTTCAGAGATTATGTGATTGGTTTGATTTTTGTGCCATGAACAACTTTATTAGAGAGCTGGCTCGGCCCAAAATCTGATTCAACTTTTGGAGTTGATCAGGAAATGTATTGGATACAGGAAGCTTTGGAAGGCTGTGAGTTTACCGTAGTGAGCTGGGACACTGCTGTCAAATCCCCCCGATGTCCTCAGGAAAATATCACAAACGCATCTGGATTTGAGCTTTTGTGGAGGAGAGTTTCAGGTGTGTGGTCTCAGAGAGTTTGCTGGGCGCGTGGACAGCTGATTCAACCATCAACATTTATGTTAGGATCCAGTTATAAACAGTTTATGCACGACAAACTGAATATGAAGGTTTTTTGTCTTTACAGTGTAAAAGCAGTTCTGGATCCTTCCGCTGTGTTTTCCCAGTAAAGAGAAAAACGCCGTGTCAAATGGATTTAATCGCCTGACTAATTGTTTGCTGCTCAGGCTGTTTACCTTTGATACAGGAATTAAAATGAATTTATATTAGATTTCATAGCAAGATGTTATCGTAACCGTGGCAAAGGTGCCACATCAGGTTAGAGGGTAAAATGGTGTTTGGCAGCTGAAACCACAGTTTGCTGCAAACAGCACGATTCCCATCAGCCCGGAGCCAAGTGATGGCGACTATAGAGTGGTGGCGAATGAAACAGTCACTGATTGGTGCGTGACACTCGTACAGGGCAAGATTAAAAATGTCACATAGCTGGACATCATATCTTAAATGAATCATATCGTATGAGCTCATTTCAATCTCCGTTCACGTGAACTGCCTCAACCTTGGTTTGGATGTTCTCACATACCAGCTGCTGCTCTGTGTGTACATACTCATGGAGCTCAGACGTTAGTTAGAAAATAATTAGAACATACAAAAGTTTCTATTGCTTCTTTATTCATTTCTATTTAGTTTGTTCTCAAGAAGTCACTTTAGGTCGAGCTGGTCTCCAGAGTGGAGATGCTTGTTCCAGTTCTTGTTTTCCACTGATTTGACCCTCAAACACGAGAACCTGCCAGTATGGTGATGGTCAAAATTAATGGTAAAATAAACTGGCTGAAACTGGTTTTCGAACCTACGTATGTTTTTATTTTGTTTTTTCTGGGGACATGTGACTTCAGTCAGTTGGTCGTGTGGTTTGCCGGAGCATCTCCTGAGGAAGTGGGATGCCACCGCCTGCCTGCTGCGAGCACACAAACACATTGACGTCCAGGCTCTTTCTTTCTGTGTGGCGCCTTTGGACACCGTGTAGCTGCACACATGTGGGATACGCAGACGTAGCTGTTGCTTGGATATGTTGTTTCTAGCCGCGTATCGAGTTCTTGGCTCTTTATTTGTGTTGGAGCTGGCTCTGTCAGGAGGTTAGATAACGCATGAAAAAGCGAAGCAAGGACGCACAAGAGCGCTTTGTGAGAAAGAACTATTCGGCTGTGTCGCAGCCTTGTTTGTCATCGTTTCTGCAGACTTGTTGCATTTCCCTGGCTGCTTTCTGAAAGCTGGTTCCTGACTCCAAATATATCACGGTTGGTCAACCACTACATTTCAGCTCAGTGCTTCTGGTCGACTTACGCTGCAGGAAAATTAATGATATGATTAAACATGTATTTCCCAGCCTCACGCAGTGTCACCGCCGGGTTGCTTGTGTGTTTTAGGTTTGTGGAAATGTGTGCCAAGACTTCTCCGGCCCTCGCTTTCTCTCTGCCCTGCGGTCACAGCAGGCCAGCTGTCGGCGGAGTCGGGAGGAGTGTGAGGAAAACAGAGCTATGAGTGACCTGTTTGTTTTATATCGGCAGGCATTTCCCCGTCTCTCAGTGGGAGAAAGTCCTCTTCTCTCCTCAACACTGGAGGTTCTGTAAAGTTACAGCAACCAGACAAGTTTAGCTTGATGATTAGTCTCTCTTCCTCCGACACAAGCCCGTTGTACATCAGATGGAGATTTGGTCTTTTGTTAACCAAGAGTGCGACTGTACGTAAACATCAAACGTGCGCTCGTGTTCGAATGCCTACTTGGATGTATGCTAGCCTCGCTAAATGTGGCTAATAAGACTGCTGAAGCCCTGTTGAGAAATAGGCATAAATCTGATTACAATCATATATCTATCAACTTTTTCAGAAAGCCGTCACTGAAACTAATATCCTGACCTTGGTGAACTTTCAGCTCGTCCAGGTTATCCTTGGCATGCTGAGATCATGTAAACCAGGAAGTGGTTGAATAGCCTTCCACAAATGAGGGAAACGCTGACTTTGTGAGCCTTAGATGGAATCTGTCTAGCTTTGTGAGAGGACGTCAGCAGCCCTCACAGATCCCTCGCAGCTCCCCCAACCAGAAACCTAACAATAGCCAGCTTCATCGTTCAGCCTATCTGGATCCGCTGTCATCTGCTGTAAAGACCAGGTGGTCACAAACACTTTAAAGTCCATTTAGAGGAACACGGGGCCTTATACGTGGGAATGTAGTGGCTGCTTCTTGTTATGACATAACGAACACAAATGTTTCCACCAGCGTGGGTCATTTCAGGCTCAAGTCTTTAGAGCTTCCAGCTTTGAGCACCAAAGGTGATTAGTGATGTCATTTAGAAATGGAAAACCAGACTGGCCGCTCAGATTGTGATCACGGACTCTGAGCTTCGCCTAGATGCAGATTCGATTGGGTGGAGGTCTCGGGAGTTCTTCATCCAGTGTCCTCAATGTGGTGAAGGGACGTGGAGCTCTGGGCTCCCTGCAGCACTTTCCTGCCTGCATCGAGCACCTCGGCGATGACGCCGTGATGACGCGGTGTGACGTCAGATGTCACACACCTGTCCAGCCACCTTTGTTAGAAATGCTAAAGTGACACGTTGGTGCTGCTGATTGCTGTTACTTGTCACTCGTACAGCGTTTATATCGTGTCCTTATCTTGGTTTTCTTCTTTGTGTATCGTTTTCTTTACTGCACAATGACCATGAAACGTGGCTATAAAATGCTGACAGTCTCCATCATCCACATTTTTAGATTATGTTACGGTGTTATGAATGGCCAGCTGTTTATTTGCTGTTTACTTGGAGGTTGACATCTGTACAGAGCAAAATTGAAAAGCTTGCACCAGAATGTTATCCATAGAAACTCTTCTGGTGTGTTTTTTGTTTTGTTTTTTAAATTTCTGACTTGACCGCTGTCTTCTTTCTCTCCAGCCAAACCCTTCACATCCAAAGTGAAGCAGATGCGCCTGCACAAGGAAGACTTTGAGATCCTTAAAGTGATTGGACGAGGAGCCTTTGGAGAGGTAACACCTTATTTTAATGTCACACTCAAACCTTTGCAGCAGGCACAGACCTGCAGATGGATTCTGTCCCTTTACCTGTAATGGGCTCTAATTGGTCACATGATCATTGTGTGAAATGTCCTCCCTGAGGCAGAGACGACGTGATTAACGGACAATATTTCTCTTGAACCCTTAGTACCCGTGTTGTGCGAGCTGAGTGTTGTGGCGTTTCAACCTTGAATTCTTTCTGCTGCATTCCAACAGCAGCGCGTCGCATTGGTCCGCCACATGAGCATGACTCTACTTGCAGCACGAGCTGAGCTTGTTGAAGCTTCGCTCACACTGAACCTGTAAACAGAATGAAGTCGAGCTCAGAGGAGCTGAGGGTTTATTTATTTCTTATATGTGTGCCCGCAGGGAAGCTGAAATGCATTTGTCACTGGTTTCAGGTAATGATGTCAAAGCTGGGGAATGTTGAAGGGACAGATGACTGTTGGATAACGAAAGCTCGCATGGAAGCTGACAATGCTCAGACTTTCTTTTTCTACGAGAAGCTTTGATATGATCGTCGTAAGCCCTGCTCCAAGCTTGCAGACAATTCATATCTGGCATTGTTATCCAAAATCTGTTGAAACAAGCTGGGGAATTCCTTTGAAGACGCTCTGATACACGGAACACGAGAGAAATGTCAGTCGTGTGGACGCGGGCGCTCCTGGCAGCACCAGCATCAGATGCGGGCGAGCTGCTGGTAGGAGTGCTGGTATGTGCAGTCACGTGACGCAGTGCGTCTGTGTTTCGGGCTTCGGTGATGTTGCCTGACTCCTGAGCGGAGCTACCTCGTGGTAACTCTCCAGCGGCCTTTTCACTAAACCACGTGTGTTTTTACGGGTGTAGCGTGGCAGAAAAATTAAATTAGCTCGGGAGACATCGTGATTGTCCCGTGGCTCTACTATTTAATCAGCTCATAAAAATATACCTTATTTCATCAAACTGTGACCAGGCGCTTTATTTGTGTCAACTGGAGAAGGAAACAAGCCTTTCATTTGAAGCTGGCTTCTATTTCCACTGCCCGGGTCAAGAGTAGCTGTGACCATAAAGGGAGCTGCAAAACTCGTTCACTCTTCCCCGCTCGCACGTCTGCTAGTGACCTTGTTTCTCTTTTCTGAGCTGAGCAGTTTCAGGCTTCAAGAACAAAATGACTGGGTGTGCACCAGAGGTTAGTGAGGGTGATCAGGTCACATCATTAGTGATATATACTGACTGGTGAAATGGTCTGTTGTGCTGAAGAGTATAAAAGCAGTGCTGTTGATTAGCCGGTCAATCTGTTCCTATGATCGCAAGCGTAGTGACCAGATGAACCGGGTTGTGGCAAAACTGAATGTCCTTCAGAGGAAGCAGGGAAAATAGTGGAATCTGTCCATACAGTTGTTGCCTGTCTTTAGGAGCCGTCTTTAGACTCATTCACAAATAAAAATCTATTTAAAATGCTGCCTTCTTTTAAGCGTGCCGCCTTCTCAAACACGCACACAGTGCCAGCTTGGCTCGGTCATGCTGCTACCCTCTGTGTGCCTTGCAGGTTGAATGCATTAAGCATTATTCTTTGCATTTTCTCAGAAAAGCGGGGTGACCCAAAACGTAACTGTCATTGTGCGTTAATAATATATGACTGATTAGTTTAACCGACTAGTATTTCCAGTTGGGGCCCCAACGTTCAAACACCTCGCTGGCTAACCGTTAACATCCCTGATGTGAATAAACCCATTTCAGGCCTCAGCACGACGTCGTGTTCTCCACATTTCCCTCATGAATAAAAGCTCACCTGGTCAGTTGTGGTGGACACGCCCCCTCCTGCCTGTTAAACCTGTGGAGCTAAACGCTGTGGTGACTCCTGTGAACGAGGCTAATCGACAGCTGTTAGTAATGCTAATAACTAATATCAACGATGGATTACACTGGATCTACTTTTTTGTGTGTGTGCCGTAAGCAGCTGTAAAAATGACGGCTCATAATCACGACTATGCTCCAGGTCAGATATAACTGGTTATGATTTTGAGCCATCTTTTTTATGTTAAGCACAGAGTGGTAAGGAGATGTGGTAGCAGACACAGGAAGCAGAGTAAAGTTAGCAGACAGTCGGTCAGGAGAACACGCAGGATGTTTTGATTTCATCCTCCCGTTGTTGTCAGCAGCAGCAGAGAGATGGCGCAGATGCGTGACGCCGTGGAGTTTGCCTGATGAATGGACCAGTTTGTACTGGCCTGTTGCCTGTGAGGATGCTCCCATTAGGGACTGGGGTGCGTCGTCTTTAGCACAAAGGGCCAAGAGCTGCTCTGTCTGGTGTAGTTAGTGCCTGAGATGAGGGTGGAAGAGCTCGTTCACTCTAAACGCCGTGTCTTCCTTGCTGGCTGCCAGTCAGTGCTATACATTTCTGAACTGCTTGTCACACTGAGTCACCAGTCAGCAGCCCGCATGCTTGTAAACACAACCTCGGTTGTTATTTCGCCAAAGTTTCACTTTAATTTACTGTGTCTGTGGAGTAATGCAGTTAGCCGCTCTGGTCGGGTCCTTACTGATAAACTAACCGGGGGAGTGGAGTCATAAACGCAGGGCAGGGAGGACACGATGGAGAAGAGAAGAGGAAGCAGAGATGGAGGAAAGGACAAAAACAGCTAGACGTTGCCAGAAAAGTGCGCTCGCCCTGTCCTCCTCCTGCAGTCCCCTCCTCTGGTGAGGGCTCACTCGGGGAAATCCAAACACTGCAGGAATGTTGTCATTGTATTGCATTAGTAGCATTAATTTAATAGACTGCAGACCCCTCTGCTGCACAGACTGACTTTGTTTGTTTCACTGTTTTTCTGCATCTTTGTCTCGGCCTGTATTTCTTCTGCTTTTATAACGTCCTTGTGCTTTTTCTACATTTAGGCTTATTTCAGTGTGAACTCAGTTTTTAGTTTTGAATTTGGTCAACGAGGCCAAAGCAAATTTTCTTTTTTCCTTTTGTGGGCCAGTAAAGTAGGAGACAAAGGAGGAGAGAAATTAGCAGGGACATAAATTTGCATGAACATGTGTTTTGGCTGTGAGCTCGCAGCACAGCTGCCTGCGCAGCTCCTTTTTTGGCAAAACGTAAAGGCCGGGGCAAGTTTGTCAGAGCAGTGTGTCGCAATCATCACTCGGGAAAGTTGGCCTGTGAGAAGCTGCGAAGCTGAGATTTATTTACTTTACAGTTGTTAACCCGGCTCTGCATGATGCAGTATCACATCAGTGCTGATGAGACAATTTTTTCATTTTTTGATCGTAGAAAACATTCAAGCGTCCAGCTGTGCAAGTCTGTGGTCCACACGGCGTCTCCGAGAAGGAAGTGACCGTAGTGTCTGCGGTCACTTCCTGCGCCCTCCCCCCACGCTGCTGGTTCTTCTGCCGCACCTTCAATGCTTTATTTTCCCTTCCTGGCCCATATTGGATCTATTTTCGTTTTAATCCAGTGTTGCATGATTATCCCTTCCTGTGCTTCCTCTTTTTTTTTTTTGACCTCAGTCTCCATACTCACGGACTCTGATCTAGATCATTTAAAGTAATTAGATTACATCTTTCCTTAACGTCTGAACTGTTTATTCACATCTGTGTGATTGTTGTTTTGTGCATCTGTGTTAGTATGATCACTTAAAGGATCCTTGTGCATCCACAGCCTGCTCTTTTCTTGTTGCCTCGAGGCTCAGATAATAACTGGATGGATCTTTGTAATTCGTCGTCAGCCTCGCCGTCACACCAAGTATTAAATTCACTCTCATAGCAGCTTTCTTTTGTCTTTTTGCAGGTTGCAGTGGTAAAAGTGAAAAACACTGACAAAGTTTTTGCAATGAAGATTCTCAACAAGTGGGAGATGCTGAAGCGAGCAGAGGTGAGTATCTTTGGTTACTGCAAAGTTTATATACACACAATATTAATAAATATTGATCACTCATTTAAAAAACAAAGTGCCTGTCTGAGCACAGAACAGGCCTTCACTTGCAGGTTCTTGCAGAGCTGCTTGTTGCATGTTTTTCTCATCGACCTCTCCCGACAGTCTCGCATTCTTGTCGGTCCTCTGGGTCTCCAGTCTACATGCCTCAAACGTCACAAACCAAACGTGTGTGCGCACAAACGCCTGGATGTAGGAGAGGACATAAAGCCACACACAGACATGCATGACGAGCATGCTGTCGTCGTGAACACGAGCCTGATTTTATTTCAGGTTTTTAACTTTGAAGGCGGCCGGAACAGTTTCAGTTTCAGTTTTAGTCAGACTGCTGAGATTGAAAGATCACGGAGAGGTCGGGTGTGTGTAAAACATGAAAATGTTTTTATTTCTGTAGATGTGTGGAGCTTTTTATAAGAAACCAAAGCATTTGTGCAGATTTGGCTGCTGATATTGTAGGTGGGCAGGATGGATTAGGCTTAAGAAATCAGGTTATTTCCTAAATAACTGAACCTCCACATGTCATCAGATGGATTTATGTCCAGACAACCTGATGCCTGATGGAGCCTCCTCCACCTGCATCGTACAGTAGTGACGCCTACTTTTTGTAACCCTACATTCCAGTGTTCAGTGAGCTAAGTGGAGGCGAGCAGTCTTATCATATTTTTCTTAAATTTAAAATTTGGGCTTTATTCAGCTACTCGAGTCCAACGCTGCCAGCGTTCCCTGAAGCAAACGAAAGGGGCTGATTTCATGTGTTTAGCAGCAGCTCGGGGAGATTTTACACCAGCCCTGTAAGAATGATCGAGAGGCCAAAGGCGAGTTGCTAACATGCTCCCAGCTTTAAGCACACACTTGTATAGAAGATTGGGACCTTTGACCTCACGTAGTTTCCAGTACGTGTGACATTCATGGTTTGTTGCATCTCTTGCCAGACGGCATGTTTCCGGGAGGAGCGGGATGTGTTGGTGAATGGGGACTGCCAGTGGATCACCACCCTGCACTACGCCTTCCAGGATGACAATAATCTGGTACGTCTGTATATGTCTGTGTTAGATGAGGTAACGTCCCTTAATAAGATTAACCTGACTTCTCTCCACGACCCTGAGTTCAAATGCCACAACTGTCATTCCATTTCCCACATTCTCAAAGCAAATGTTTTATCCCGAACACCTCCCCAAGTCTTAAAAATATACACGACTGCCGCTCTGACCAGTTATTTTTAAATGGACCTGTAAAAGTGACATCATTTAGGTGTTTTCCCTCTTTGTGAAAGAAGAGATGGACGACTGTAGATTCATTTCTTGCAGCTTTGTTCTTGTTGTTCCAAAAAAGGCTGCTCTTTATTAGTTTGCCTCTAAGCAGTGCTGCACAGTTTCTGCTGTCTGACACGTTGGCGTCTGTCTCTGTAGTACCTGGTGATGGACTACTATGTGGGCGGTGACCTGCTGACTCTGCTCAGCAAGTTTGAGGACCGGCTGCCGGAGGAGATGGCCAAGTTCTACCTGGCTGAGATGGTGCTGGCCATCGACTCGGTTCATCAGCTACACTATGTCCACAGGTGAGAGGAAAGGTGTTTTGGCACATTACGAAATCAATATGTGTGCGTTTACAGAATATGAAATAAATAACTTTACAGAATCTATACACTACTACAGTAGGGCTGTGCAATATGACCAGAATCTCAGGTCTCGATATCAGACGTCTATCATCTGATATCGATATAAATCACAAAAATGTAACTTTTTCTGTAAATTCTGTGACTCTCGACTTGCATGAAGTGTTTCCAGCTGCGCGTCGTGTAGCTGGAGTCGAGTGTTTTAACGATGCATGAAACGACACATTTTTAGACATAAGCTGTAACGGCGCCGTTTTCTTTGTGAGTATTTATTACACGGCGTGCTGCGGGGAGAAGCTGTTCTAACGTTTGAGTCTAAGGTTTGCATCCATCCAGAAGTGCTTTAGTGATATAGATATATTACAATATATATTAGCAATAATATAGATATGTGAGTATATTACAGAAATGGGTCTATTATGGTATGTTATAATGTACACGGTATGAAGTATGTTGTGAATATTCTATAACTATAAGTATGTACAGGATATGAACAGGATATAAATATGGAAAACTATACAGAATATGAAATAAATAACTTTACAGAATCTATACAGTAGTGCAGTTAAGAAAAGTGAGATATGTGGATAATTTCTACAGAGGCTATATAAAGTGCTATTAATATATATAATATATATAATATATAATATTATATAATATACGCAGCTGAAAATGGCGCAATAGCTCCACGTTGAGTAATCGCTCATCACTGTGGGAAGCTGTGATTGCAGTTACTTTAAAGAAGGTCACAGCTTGCACAATATCTAAACGTCACAATGAAAATGCTGCACACGAGGCTTTTAATATAACACACAAGCAGCAGACAACAGAACAAACAGATTGCATTTGCAGAAGTTTAAATTGGACTGGCAGAGCAGTGCAGTTGAACCTGTTTACATCCACATGTCAAACATTTTCAGCTATAAAGGGCTTGATCTGGTGACGCTCCTTTGTCTTACAAATATACACGGCTGCCCCTCTGACCATTTATTTTTAAAGGAACCATTAAAGGTACATAATTTGGGTGTTTTCCCTCTTTGTGAAAGGAGATGGACAGTTGTAGATTAGTATCTGGCAACAAAGCAGGCCAGTGTAATCTGTGCTCAGCACCAACCGACAGAGGCTTGTTTTAAAAAGAGCTGTTAAAAAGCGCAGTTTGCCTCAAGAGTTGCTCAAAATACAAAGGTTGAAGGACCCTTTTTACTCTAATAGCAGCTGTAGCTAGCACCCAGAGCAGGGGTGGGCAACTCCAGGTCTCGAGGGCCGGTGTTAGATCTCACCCTGAATCACATGATGAGTTCATTACCAGGAATCTGGAGAACCTCAAGACCAGTTGAGGTCATTTAGCCATTTAAATCAGCTGACACGTCTAAAACCTGCGGGACACCGGCCCTCGAGGCCTGCAGTTGGACAGCCCTGGCTTAGAGCAATGTTACAACGTTTGGCTGCGGTGCAGTGTAGCTTACATGGGACATACATGACCCGACCTCGTCTGGTAGTGCAGCGTCTTTAGCTGTCATATCATTTCAAGTTGGAGACACTTTCCTCTCACTCATTTCAAAGACTTAAGAATAAACCACCTAAAAGCACATTGTTTAGAGGGCACAGCACGAGAAAGCATTCTTCTCTCTGAAGTAGGTGCCAAAAGAACTTTCCAGCCAATAGGAGGATGCCCTCGGGAGCAGGAGATACAGTTCTTCCAGACAGGAAGCAGTCACATTGGCATGTTAACATAATTACAGTGTCGCTTTCGCCAGGGGGCTCGTCACAGCAGTTTAGTTTAGGGAGCAAGGGAGTGATGGATAGACTGGGAAAGATGAGAGATGGATGTAGAAGGCAGGGTCACGCCGTTCGGTATTTTGGGTGTGCCCCCAGTTTGTCAGATCTCTAATACACCACAGCAAACACAGACACACTCTGGGAGATGGCAGTGCACTTATGGAGACATGTATGTACACATTTCTGAGGATGAAAGCTAGCGAGTCTGTTCGAGGAGGAGACAAGAGTGCCGAGCCACTAATTGCACAGTGCTATCGAGGGGGGGGGGCAGCAGTGGATGGAAAAGGGACGGGGGAGGAGGGGACGGCACTGTTTCTCTTCTAGTCCCCTCGTGGACTGGTTGGGACAATAATGATGGGGTATGGGAGGTGTGGGGGTGGGGGCGTGGTGTGTGTCCGTACCAACCCCCCCAGCTCCTCCCACAGCTCTGCCTTCCACAGAGTCTCCGGGGAGATCTTTGCTTTGTAGAGAGTGGGGACAGCCAGACAGGTCCCCAGAGGAGGGTGTGTCCTGCTGAGCAGTCCCATCTGATGGGCTGTGTGTTTGTGCGCACACACATCAGGGTGTGTTTGTCCTGCTGACCATCTGCATGTGCCACTTGGGTTTGTTTCCTTTTCCTATATGTACGTTTAGGGCCGTGTATTAACGTGTCATATAAAGGATTACACGCCTGTTTTTAAAGTCCACCCTCTGTTCATGACTCTGGCTTCAGTGCAACTGAAACACTGTTAGGAAATGTAAGTGGGCAGACTGTCGCTCTGCGCCGTCTTCATCTCCTCACGTTTTCTCTGTGATGCCGTTTTCTGCTGGGAGAATTTGAGGTCCCGCTCCAAATCTCAAGTGACCCATTATCGGGTCTGCACCAAGACCCCAGGTGCAGAGGCCATAAAGGGGCCTGTTGTGTTTACCACTGATGCTCCTATTAAACAAAGTTTCAAGGACAAATAGAGTAAAATAATATAGTGGTGTTATCCACAGCTCGCTGACCTCTGACCTTGTTGAAAACCCATCAGTGTTTCTGTCGCGATGACAGGTGATGCCATCAGTTTTCATGCATTGTGACTCACTCTGCAATCCACAAATATTCACGCTGAACAAGGCTTATGACTCGCACTGATGAAGTTGGAGCATACCGAAATGAAAAACAAAGAGTGGATTATGAGATGTTTGGTGCGTTCTAGTTTACATCAGTTTTATTTTGTAGTTTGCAGGATTAAAAATACAACACTGAACACAATCCTTATATAAATTATTCGCACAGCTAACATTATTAGCTTACAGCGTTTTAGTCCACGCTTTAATATTCTGCTCGAGTGTTTTGCTGAAAGCGTCACTGCTTTAAAAAGAATATTTGCAGCCTTGTTGACACTAATGTAGTTAAAAAGAGCCGACATGAAAGGGACGGAGCGCAAAGAGCCTCGAGGTCGACCGTCTGTCCCCTTCAGCTGAGTCCCACGAGGGACAGCGTGTGGAAGTCAGATGCAAAAGAAGACAATTTATTCAGTGGTCAGTGATCTGTGCCTCCCAGAGGGCCTGGACAAATGTTTCAGTAGCTCAGCATGGCTTTGTGCTGCCGAGCGCCACATCTGTCTGCCTCGCACACTGTGTGTGTGTGTGTGTGTCTGTGTGTACAATTGTGTATGGCTGAACAGAGGAACGCACACATTTGATGTCATCATAGTCTCATATAGAAACGGGTCTGCTCCACTGAATGTTGTAGAGGTGTGTGTGTGTGTGTGTGTGTGTTGCCAGGTTGATTGCAGCCTTTAATGTGTTTTACTATTGATGAGGGCCCTGCATTTCTCACTGAGGGCTCCATGAGAACAGAGCTCTCTTATAAACACCTTCTAATAAGTTACAAGTAGCTTCCTTCACATTGTTGCACACGGTGGACGTCTTGCATGGAGCTGGTGCTGCTGAATTTCAGAACACTTCATTGATCCCTGGAGGAAATTATGTAAACAATTTGATGGAAGTGACGATTATGAGAATATTTTCAGTACATTTACAGCAGGAAGGGTGTGTGTGTGTGTGTGTGTGTGTGTGTGTGTGTGTGTGTGTGTGTGTGTGTGTCAGGATCATATGACAATAGGTAAGTAGGTAAAGCAGCAGCCCTGCAGTGTGTGGGAACCTTTGATTCTCCTCCTTTGTTGGCAGTGTCATGTGATGCCAGAAGTCACAAAGACAGCAGTTCTTTGAACCGGTGGCTAACAATGCTTGGCTGGAGCCATGTGGACATGTCTTGTCCTTGCAGTCTACAGAGCTGGTGCAGGCCACATTGTGTGTATGTATGGGGGTGTGTATTACGAGGTGGCGTCCAGATGGCCCTCACAGATGGATTCTGTGGCTTTAAAAGAGATTACCTTGCTCTATTCCCGTCTCGGCGCTTCTCCTTAAGACCTCAGGAGCCCAGTGACACAGTAGCCCAATTAGCTGTGCTAACTTGCCTAGCCTAGCATTAGCCTAGTGTTAATGGTTCCTGTGGTTTGTCCATGAGTGGACATTCGAGTAAGCACGTTATTGTTAGGCTGTGTGTGTGTGTGTGTGTGTGTGTGTGTGTGTGTGTGTAGCTTCTATTAGCAGCAGAATCCACCATTCCTCACCCCACCATGACACTTTGTCTGCCACGCAAATACATTTGTACACATTTGCACACAGGCACAGCACGACGGGTCAAACCATGCTGCCTGCTCTCTGGCAGAACAGAAATCGCTGAAGCAGATTAGGGCCTTCGAGCAGCTGAAACACCTGCGCATGTATGAAGCACGCACACACTCCTCCCTACAGAGCCACGTGCGAGCAGTCTGGTCCGATACTTGTAGGTTCATGATTTGTCAGGTCTACACAGTGTGAGAGTCCCACTCGGGTGATCACTGGTTACCCAGTTAAGTAGACAATTATACTTTAATGAAGCTCAAAACTGCTGCTTAGTTATTTCAGATAATCGATGATTATATTTTGGGGCTTCATTTCATGTTCGTCTTACAAAACCAAATGCTGATAGTTGAGAATAAAAGTATTAGGATATTCATTTCTATAATATCCCAACATCATCATCTTCTATGATGATGATGATGCTGCTGTGGGGAACAGACATACAGTGGTTTGCAAAAGTATTTGGCCCCTTGAACTTTGTCACATTACCACAAACATGAGTCAGTTTTTTGGACTTCCAGGTGAAAGACGGTTGTTTATTTGTACAAATGTTGGAATCATGTATGATTGTCGTTCCACTTCTCATGTGTGCACCACTTTGTGTTGGTCTTTCACCTGGAATTACAATAACATTGATTCATGTTTGTGGCTGTAATGTGCAAGACTGTACATCTGCCACTGACTGATATCCACTAATAATGTAAGCCAACCCTTATATTATTCTCCCTATAATTAATTATATAGAAAAGTCAAAGTGCTGTATTTTTTCAGCGTCATGCTCAGGTTTGTTGTTCCCTCAGTTTCAGTTTGTTCGAGTTCAGGCGAGATCCATAGCAGTGATGCTCGTTGTTGTCCAAGATAAATCTTTGCAGGCGTAACAATGCTGTCTGAGAGATCGTGATGGTGTTTATGCTCTTCGATAGTCTGACTTTGGGTTCTTGTCAGTTGCTTGTGGTGTTTCTGCCTGCAAAGCTCATGTTATTCCACACTTGGGTAGCCTATGTGGTTTTGTTCCAGAAATGTACAGCATCCACTTTGGAAAACGATGTCCAATCTGGAACTCATCTGTGAGCGTGCAGGCTCTGCAAAGAGAGAAGCCTCGCTAAGCCTCGCAGCGAGCTGTAGCCCAACTTTGTGTCTGTACCAGTCACACGTGTGCAGATATTCCTTTAATGCACAGTTTTATAGGTTGGTGATTTAGTGTCGTCTCTGAAGACGAGAGCTAGCTAGACCTCCCCCGCCCCCCTGCTCCATAAGATGGGACCATTAACACTTCTGGAAAATGACAGAGGCTTCACATGTGGCTTTAAAGAAACCTCTCGCTGAAGACGGAAGCATCAAAGAGCCGTGTCTTTGAGTACTTAAAGAGAATTTAAGAAAGACCATTGAAGAGGAACTCGTAGGTTGAAGTTTTTATCTGAAAACAAATGATGGTTTTACAAAGTCGTTACCTGCTGGCTGCTGTTTTATCAGCTGACCTGGACTTTCTGTCATCCAAGCGTTTTATTGGATGCAGCTTTTGCTTCTTTATGTGTGTTCGCTTTTCTCCATTTGATTTTAAAGTGATATTTGGAGCCACAGATATTAGGAAGCAACACTGACTGATGAGGAGCTAAAGCAGGCTGTGCTTTTTAATTTACACATGCTCTCATTCCTCTTCTCATTAGTGTCAGTGTTGCCCGTGTTTGTGCTTGAGCGAGCGTGGGGGTGTGTGCTTGTTTTGGACATTAGATTTATTTTAAGCAGAGCCGCGCTCGCCTCACTGCGCAGAAATAGCTCAGTTCTGTAACCTGTTACATCAAGTGTGTCAGTGGCTGCAGAGTTGATCATCTTTCACTCACCTTTGCATTTGTGCGTTGCTGCCTTTAAGGTCCCACGTGTTGCTTTGGACACTCGTTAAAGAGGTTTTTATGTGGCCTGTAGGCTGTGTGTACTCAGGCGTGTCAGGGCTCAGTGTGCTGATAAGAGACTCCAGGGGAAATCGCCCGAATGGTCAGACGAGGACAAACTATTTTTACCCATAATGGTGGCTCCAGTTACGCCTCTGTTTCATACCAGTCCGAGCCAGCATCTTTGGGGTTGTTTAGTATGTATTCTGACTATTACGCTCCTGAATGCAACCTCCACACTCAGTTACCCATGTGGGTGCTCTCTGTGGACGCAGGTCTACGCTAGACCAGCTGAGCACCTGTTTAACACTGTGACACGAGCTCGGTCCTGTGCCTGGAAACACTCTGAACACTCAGGATTTTATATGGATGCACAGCACAGAACATATTCATGCATCTACTATGCATTTCTTCATAGTTGGTTCTGTAAGTACATTTTTTTCATTTATTGACGCAGGTGTGCGATCTGCTTTAAGATGAAATTAATACAGTGTATTTTACTTCAAGATTCAACAAACCATTTTTAATTAGATGCCTTACAAAACAGTCTGGGTCACTAAATTTATGGAGTTTGATGTAATTTAGTGCCGTCTGTTCATCTGTGTGGTGCTGGTCTTCAGCTTCATGAGGTGCTGCGTGTTGTCTCTGAAACAAATGCTTAAAATAAAAGATATTCTTAAAGCTTTCTCAGCTTATTCACATTATTGAGTGCAAACAATAAAATGGATAATTATTCAAATGACCCCTACTGGTCATTTAGTTTTAAAAGACTTGAATTGGCAGATGAAACGGTGTCTCGAGTCCAGCCAGCGCATCTGTGACGTCACCGCGTCATCAGCAGTAGTAACGCAGAACAGCCGCTCTGCTCGGCTCGTGCACATCAGAGCAAAAAGGATGAGGGAGTGTGTGTGTGCGTGTGTGTGCGTGTGTGTGTGTGTGTGTGTGTGTGTGTGTACTTCGGGTACAGCTAATTCCCACAAGTCCAACTATTTTCAATGTTTATTTTTTCTTTTGCTCAATTTAAAGTTGTCACGCTGCTGATGAATGGACTGAGGCAAATTACACTTAACTGAATCACAAATGTATCTGAATTATACTCGTTCTTTAAAAGCAAGCTGAGACAGTGAAATTTCCCCAAGTTGTGTAACGTAATTTGATGATAATTGATGGGGTATGAGATCAGGCTTGTGTGTTTTGGACGGGCCATGTGTAGGTATTGTTTTATTTGGCAGAGTGTCCCATTTTCTTCATCATCTTTATTCTTCTGAGAATCGCTCGCTCAGTTTGTCTTTTCCCCCCTTTTCCCTCTTCTATCCTCCCTCCATCCTCACTTCCTCCTCTTTTCAGGGACATCAAGCCCGACAATATTCTGCTGGATATGAACGGCCACATCCGCCTGGCTGACTTTGGCTCCTGCCTCAAACTCATGGAGGATGGGACGGTAGGTTTTTACCACACTGCTGCTGATGCCTCGTTTGGGCCAAAGCAAACATACCAGAGCTTTTCTGACCTCCTTGTCAACCCCCGGGGGTCTCCCAGGAGGAGAGTGCGGTTCAGCTGCTTGGCTGAGCCTGCAGTTTGTGATTCAGACCATTCTCCGAGCCCCATCCCAAAGACAAGAACGGGATGAAATAGATGATCAAAGAAATTCTCAGAGGGATGATAAGGACTGTTTGAAAAGGAAAAACCAGTCTACAAATAGATTCAATGTAGGGATGTATTTCTCAGGTGTTTTGTGCATTAAAGCAGCTCTTTGAATAAGAAGCAGATACAGAGAAAACAGCCCAAATGTTTAGTGTCACTCTAACTATTCAAACGTGCTCTACAATGTAATGTTCTCCCAGTTAGTCCTATTATAATGCAGGCTCACTGAAAGTGAAGTCACTGGAGTTCTGTAGATGTAAACAAACGCTGCCTTCCTGCCGTGGTTGAGTTTATCTCACGTGTTACAGAATTTCACCTTTAATTCGTCGTCATCTTTACTTTACACGCACAAACCTTTGTCACCTCTTAATTTCTTTGATATACTTTGTCTTAAATTCTCTGCTAGGTTCAGTCATCTGTGGCTGTGGGAACCCCAGACTACATCTCTCCAGAAATCCTCCAGGCTATGGAGGATGGGAAAGGCAAATATGGGCCAGAGTGTGACTGGTGGTCCCTGGGGGTCTGCATGTATGAAATGCTGTACGGCGAGACTCCTTTCTATGCAGAATCCTTGGTGGAAACCTACGGGAAGATCATGAACCACAAGGTGAGCTGACGAAATTAAAAGGTGTAACGGTAAAACGCTCGCCTGAAATTTGCCCAGTTTGACCAGTAAACACTTCGTCAAATGCGATCATGTCTTGAACAGGAGAGATTCCAGTTCCCACAGCAGATCACAGATGTTTCTGAGGAGGCGAAAGATCTGATTCGCCGACTCATTTGCAGCCGAGAGCACCGATTGGGTCAGAATGGCATCGAGGACTTCAAGCAGCACCCCTTCTTCGCGGGTACAGGCTCCACCTTTCTGTCGCACACAAAGATTACCTGAAAAACGTTTACCGTTCGCTGTATGCTGCTTAATAAATGCATCTCCTTGTTTTTCACCTTCGACCTTTTAAGGCATCGATTGGGATAACATTCGCATGTGTGAAGCCCCCTACATCCCAGAGGTCAGCAGTCCTACAGACACCTCCAACTTCGATGTGGACGACGACTGTCTCAAGAACTCGGTACGTTTGGAGGAGTGAACGCCATCCTCTCACGGTGTCGTCTGACTGGACGTATTCATACTGACGTGCAGATTTCACATGATTTCAAATCCTTTCAGGAGACGATGCCCCCTCCCTCTCACACTGCTTTCTCAGGCCACCACCTGCCCTTTGTAGGTTTCACCTACACAAGTAAATGGTAAGTGTTAACAAACAGTTTCTGCCTAACAACCAACTCTTACTACAGCTGGACTTCCTGTGTCTTTGCTGATGATTGTTAAATAGCAAAAAGAGGAGGAACAAGTCTCTGACGCCTCTTCCTGAATCAGACTTTCTTCATTTAGCCTCTTTTGAAAGTCGTCCTTCAGACTCATAATGACTGTGATAGCGAGCAGATGCTATTTTGCTCCAGTGTCCAGCAGTTGTCACAGGTTGTCTTCATATGTAATGACTTTATTTATTTTTAAATGGATTTCCTATACAAGCTGTCTCAGCACGTGGTGTGAGGAGGCGGGGGAGATTAGCTTTCCTCCCTAATAAGGTGATGTTGCTGTACATCCTCAGGCTGAAGTGGTACTCATGAGAAAGCACCAGACCCACCAGCTGCTTCCTTATCTTTTCAAGCCTCAGTGATAATAGCCTTTTCCTTCCTTTCTGTCCTTCTGTCTCTTTCTCGCTCCACCTCGCGCTCCTCGTGTCCTTCTGCTGTTTTCTCCCATGACTCAACTTTCAGCTTATCTCTGTCGCCATCACTTCTCTCTCCCCGATCTTTCTTTGTATTTTCCCAATGACCGGTTTGATGTCATCAGAAACCACCAGCACCAATGTAAATAGTTTGTCCCCCCTCCTCTGTAGCACTCTGTCTGATCGGGGTTGCCTGCGACAGCTGGGAGGTGAGCCGGGGAAGGCCGGGCAGGACAAGCTGGATGTTGAAGTGCAGCGTAGCCTGGAGGACAGCCTGGCCACCGAGGCCTACGAGAGAAGGATTCGCCGCCTGGAGCAGGAGAAGCTAGAGCTGAGCCGCAAACTGCAAGGTGAGGTCGGAGCAGCGTGCATCATATGCACACAGCCATCATGAGGCATGAGCATCCAGTCTGCACATGCTGAACTTAAAACCTTCCACTCTTGCCAGTATGGCTTTTAAAAGGCCTATAAATGATGTTTCTGATGTGCCACAGAGTCGACTCAGACGGTGCAGGCGCTGCAGCACACAGGCGAGGGCCCCCTCAGTGCTAACAAGGAGGTGGAGATCAGGAGCCTGAAAAGCGAGATCGACATTCTGAAGAAGCAGATCGCTGGTCAGGACACAGTGCAACGCTTTTCCTTCTGAATCAGCTCCTGATTGTCTCTGACAGACACAAACGGCAGCAAATGTGGTTGTTTGGCAAATGTCTGACAGTTTCAGTTGCGTTTCAAACCAAGCGTGTGTTCGTTTCAGACTCAGGCCAGCTGGAGAAGCAGCTGGAGGATGTGACGCTGGCTCGGAGAGACTTGGAGGACTCGTCCAAACACATCAAGACTCTTGAGAAACAGATGAAGAGCATCACACAGGAAAGGGATGACCTACAGAAGGTACGGCTAGTGTTTCGTGCCATTCTCTGGATATTTAAAGAGCTACAAACGAGTGTGATTTTATTGATCAAGCTGAAATAACAAGTTATTGGACTACTTTGTGGGAGGGATCTGAAATGCTCAACTCTGCTGTCGTCTGTCGTGTTCAGGATCTCATGGACGCCAGCGAGAAGTTGAAGGTTCAGTCTAAAGAGCTGAAGGAAGCCCACAGCCAGAGAAAACTGGCCATGCAGGAGTTTTCAGAGCTGAACGAGAAGCTCACAGACCTCAGGTAGAAGCACGCGCCCAATGCCAACCGCCGACTGCTAGAGTTTCTTTAGTAATGTTTTTTAACAAAGTCCCGTCCATGAATAAAACGCCCACGCTGGATGTCTTCCTGTCCCGGTTCACAGGTCGGCGAAGCAGCGCCTGGTTCGTCAGCTGCGTGACAAAGAGGAGGAGATGGAAAGCCAGAATCAAAAGGTGGAGGCTCTCCGCCTCGAGGTGCGAAAGGCCGAGAGGGCCAAGAAGGAGGTAGAGTAGACTCCCCCGTGGTTGCTGGCACGCCCTGCTCTGTCCGTGTTCACCTACTCGAGCTTCATCCAGACGTCGCTGTGACTTTACGCACTGCGAAAAATGTAACGTGTGCAATCGCTGCAGACGTCCAGAGTTTCATGTCCACAGATCACAGTGGCACAAAATGACGTGAAACATTGAGACGTTGTTCCTCGTGTGTTGGTAGAGCAGCATTTACCTGCTTAACATGTGCTGTGTATGATCGGTGGCAAGAAACAGTTTGTGAAGTTTATCACTCTATAAGTACGACATCATATATAATCTTATTTCCACTCACGGCCTGAAGGTAGATGGAGAGAACCAGTCATGCAAATGGAATGAAACCAGTAAGTCGTTTATTTAGAAAAATCCCTCAGCGCTGCATATCTGTGATGGGGACGTGTGCGACTGGTAGAAATTCAACACGTCTAAGAACGGTCTATGAGCTCGAGCCTTTTTGTTCGCGGCTTCGGTTCTGGGACAGTCGTCCCATAACACGAACTTTATTCTTGGACCAAGACTGAGGCCTGTTCACACACTTGTCTTTGGTCCGATGTCCCGACGTTTTCTTTTCCAGTGGGCTCGTATGCTGCGTCAGTGGTGACAGGCTGTCCTGGGCCAGTTCTGTTTCATCCACGTCATCTTCATCAGACTGCACGTGTCCTCTCAGAGAGCTGCAGCTTTCTGGTGTTTAGGGCTCCTCTGGTTGTTGTTATTAACCTGAACATCGGCCAACAGAGCGGATTTTACCCCCGGAGTCCAAACCGTTTGTTTCTAACAGAAATGTCATTTCACACTGTGATAGATCCTCAGTCTTTAAATATAAACAGGCCACTCACTCAGTGTCCTGATGCAGAAGTTGCTCACAGGTTTAATGTGTTTGTCTCTGTAATGTAAAATATTTGTGCAGAAATCTAGAAACGTGTGTTCACAAAAGACGTGTTGCAGCTGCGACATGTTTAAAAGCTCGTCTGCTTTCCTCGTTTCATCATCAGATGGAGGCTCAGGTGGAGGAGCAGGCGGCCGAGGCTCAGAAAGAGAAGAAGCTGAGAGAGCGCAACGAGCAATACAGCCGACAGCTGCAGGAGGAGCTGGAGGGGCTGAAGGTGAGTGTTCCCAGCTTTAACCATTCAAAGTACTAATGACTTAATCACCCCGATGGAGATATTTTAGGGTTTTCCCCTGCATGAGTACAACGAGTCTCACTGGTACTCTTTTCTTCTCCATACAAATCTTTGTCTCATTCCCACCACCCAGGTGAAGCAGGCTGGCTCCTCTGCTGCCCCGGCCCCGGCGGATCAAACCCAGGAGGTCGGGCGTTTACGTGGAGAAATGGAGAAGAAAACGATGTTCTTCGAGGAAGAGTTGGCCCGCAGGGGGGCGCAGTACAGCGCCGAGCTGAAGGCGCTGCGTAAAGAGCTGAGAGACGCCGAGAGCCAACAGCTCAACCTGCAGAAAGAGATCCTGATGCTCAAAGACAAACTGGAAAAGACTCGTCGTGAAAGGTATCGCACCAGTTTGCCTTTCCTGGGGCTGCTGTTAGCGTTGGTTCCCTTTAGGTTTGTCTTTAATACGTTGAGTTTAATTCTTCTGTCGTCTCTTTCAGTGACGATTCCACGAGGTGATTACTGTTAACGATAGCTTCATCCCATTAATCCCCTTTGTGCTCTAAATATAGTAGAACTCCAGCCGCCCCCTAACATTTCCATAAATTGTGTTTAGATGGATCGTAAATATACCAGCGAGAGTTTCCCAGGCACACTGTCACAGTGTTTGCCCCACAAACATGAGTGGATTTCATTCCCAAGGCTGCACTAGTCCAGCTGTCCCTTTTATTTTTAACATTTTAAATTTACAGCTAATGGTGATAGTAGGCTGGTAAAACAAACCTCGATGCTTGGGTCAGAGTGGGTGGAGGAAAGGTCTCACTAAGCCGGCCCGTTAGTCAGAGCTGGAAGGATGCAGGTCCCCAACTGAATTTGAAAGGTTTTAACATATGTTACCTTTATACCTGTAATGTCCTGATTACCCTGAATGACTCCTGTTCTGGCATTTTGGGTTTGGGAGACCCGTTACTGTACTGTTAGTATTTTAAATGAATCTGCAGGAGACGCACAGTTTAAAGCTGTCTGTGCTGCAGCAAGCTATTAATCTCTAATATGTCAAAAAGAGCTGGAAACCCTTGTTTCTTACAGCGGCTGACACACATCCTGATGTTTGCTCTGCTGCAGATCAGCATCACTTATTCTTGCGTTTGTTTATATGGGGCGTGTAAAGCTGCAACATGCAGACGATAGAATAATTCTGCTGTAAGACGTCTGTAGAGAAATGCTTCAGATCTGAGCGTTTGTTTAAAGGTGTCACATCTGCCCCTCGGTTCATCCTGGAGCACAAATCTAAACCAACAGTGCCGTCTCCACAGGCCTGTTCAAACTTCACTGCAGTCACTACTCAGTAATGGTTGGTGATAAAATGAGAGCAGCAGAGGCTGAAATGGTAACAAAATAAAAAGATCTGTCAAAATGTGTCAACGTGGAGGTTTTATACCAATAAATGAGAAGAAGTTGTTTCTTCTGCGGCACTCAGGCTCACCTGATCCAACTCTGAGCCGCTAGTTTAATACAATTTGCATAAAAACGTGTTTTTGTGGCGCTTTGTTTTGGTACCCTGTCCCATCCTGCCTGCTGTTAGTGCCATATTACTCCCACTGCTGTCTAAGTCGGTTTCAAACGCAGCACTGTATCAGATCCTAGCTGCATTAATGTGTTTGGGCTGAATAATGCATCTCGGTGTTTGATCTAAGGTTTGGACAGATGTGGGAGGAATTACACGAGAGCTCCAACAGACGTGTTGGTCTTAATGTTAAAATGACAAATGCGAGAAATCAGATGGAGTTTTGCATTTATAAATTGTGGGTTGGGAATAAATGTAAGTTTATACAAAGGCACAAGTTTTACAGTAAGTCTGTGTGTGTGTGCTTTTTCCCCGTCCAGCCAAAGCGAGCGGGAGGAGTTTGAGACAGAGTACAAGCAGGAGTACGAGCGAGAGCGAGTCCTGCTCACTGAAGAAAACAAGAAGCTGTCCAGTGAACTCGACAAGGTGCCACATCTCTATTTATACACAAAGTGACTGTCAGCGCACAAACCTGGGTCATCTCTGTCAGTCTTTAGTGAGCTCTCAACACACACCAACACAGCGCTTTGACCCCAGCTAACCCCAAACTCTTTCATCACATTCCTCCTCCACCCCGCTCTCCCGCCAATGCCAAAGAAATCACTGTTCAATATCCTGCGTAAAAACAGCCGTCGCCGCCTCCACAGTGGATGGGATGACTCTCTGGACTGAGCTCTGTTGACTTTGGAAGTTCAGAAAGGCCCTCGTTTTAAACAATGTCTCATAAGCAGGAGACATCCTGACATTATATCACTGTACTTATTTGTTTTGTTAGTTGATGAAGATGGATTCGATCTGCGTGTGCGTTAGCGCCACCACCACCTTTTCAGCACGTTTTGAAGTGTGTAAAAAAATTCTTGTTTGACTCGTCTCACCTTTCAAAGGAGGCTCCAGAGTTCACACCAAACTGCTTCGTCTTCACTCGGCACCATTCGTGAAACGACCTGTGGGCTGGACTTGTGTTCAGTTTGTCCAACTTTCCAACTGCATTTGACCTCCATCCTTGTTTTCGGCCTGAATTTCCACGATCAAAGAAACATCGCAGGAAAAGCTGTTTGCGTTCAGTGTCAGCTGTTGACAGAATGAAATTGGCAGTGAATAAATATGAAAAGACATCCCAGTATGAGAACATCATCCATTGTCAGCGCGAACTGTTTTAGCAGCAAACATTATGGTTAGAAATGAAAAAGGAATCTGGACCCTGGTCAGGAATATCTGCAGTTTCTTCTCCAAGAGCAGGCAGATGTGATTGATCAGCATCGTTTGTCTCCCCACAGAGGTTCTTGTTCTGCCTCAGCATCGTCAATGTCACGTTCTTGGACTTGCAGTTAAAAATAAACTCATTAAAAACTAACAATCGTTATCAGCTGGTAAAACATTGCTGTACTGAGAGATTTCACTTTCAGAGAGATGCTTGATAATAAAAAGTGCATCTTTCTGCCTTTTCACAAGTCAGACACAGTTGAGCGAGTCTCAGCATCGCTTTGGTCATTTGCACTGTTACAATGTTGCTGTTTCAGATATTGAGGTCTGTGTATGTGCAGGAAATCTGAGACAAAGGTTTTGGTTCTGTGTGACCTCAAAGAGAGCAGATGTCCATATATGGTCATCCTGTGTATCTGCTGCTCAAACCTGCTGTTTATCAGAGGTGCTCTATCAGAATAAACTGAAACGTCTGGTTTAAGACAGAATTATTCACAATTCAAAACTTCTTTATCTTATACTCTGTTCATCTAAGCAGAACAAAGTGTAAAACGCCCATTTAAAGAAGTCGTGGGCAGAAATGAGACAGAATCTCTGACATGCTTTGCTTTCTCCAGCATGAAGTATTTTGTAGAGCTTGCTTCGTTAATGGCTACATCCATGATTTCCTGGCATCCGATGGTCATTTCCAAACCCGAGTAGCTGCACATCTGTCACATCTGTGTCGTTCTGGACGTTTTCATAGTAACATGAGGTCAGGGCTGTGTCGAGCATGTTTCATGCCTAAGCTGGTGGATTTGCCCCCAGAGGTTTGCATGCTGGAGAATGTCACACTGTCAGTGACGTAAAGCTTCTTTACAACACTGACATTTGCGTTTGCTGGAAACCAGCTTGTAGACCAGTTGCAAAACTATCCCACTTTCCTCATTCCACAAATATAGTGAGCAGTGAGCTGACCTCATGTCAGAGCATCTCACCCTCACATGTGAGGAACACGCGTGGTCCTGGTGTGATGGAGCAGCTGGGACTGAATCATAAAGTCTGTCTTCAACAACACGCTGATTAATTTTACGCGAGCACCCGAGCCTCTCATGTTCACTGACAACACGAATGGCAAACTGTGTGTAATGAGTTCGTTTACCAGGCGTTAGACTTTGACAGCTTTGTGATTTGACACTTTACAATATTGTGTTTAATAGCATGCTCTCCTCCCCCACGTTTGTTCTCATTCCTGTAGCTAACCACCATGTATGAGAAGATGAGCAGCTCCAACAGGCAGCTGGAGGATGAGATGAGGGAGCTGGCTGATAAAAAGGAGAGTGTAGCTCACTGGGAGGCCCAGATCACAGAAATCATCCAATGGTAAGACGCACGCTCATATATGCACGCTGCAACCTTCTCAAATGTCCCAGATACTTGCTGAGGCATACGCTTTCCCCCGCTGATGTTAAAGCGCCAATTCAAAGACGTTTATGTTCAGTGTGACAAAGTGCGAGCAGACACGCTTCTGTCTCGTAGTGGATTGGGTTCCTTGTTGGAGTATAACTGCAGCATTTCTCACATGCCGCTGCAGATCAGAGCTGCTCGGCCCTGCCTTCCACTCAGATCACTCCTCAGTGCAGCTGACACCTCGCCAGCTGCTCAGCCTCTCACTGTTGGACAAGCCTAAAGTCTTTACATAGCACACATACCACACACACACACACTTCAGACATGTAAGTACAAGTGTTGAGCGTGGTATGCAGGTTTAGAGGAATGTAGGGATCACTGTTGCCCCCTGGTGGCCGGGGTTTGCTACTGCAGGGGCTAAATAAGGAAGCAGGATCACTTGTAGGTAAAAACAAAATGAATGAAACATCCTTTCACGACACGAACTCTGATTTTTGAATGTCAAACGTGTGTGGCGTGCGCTCTGTGAGCGCCAGAAAATGTTTACGTTAGTGTCAGCGTAAGTCTGTGCTGTGAACACGTCAGTTTATTCTACCTGAGTGTTCAGGGTTAGTGAGCGACTCACCTGCAGGCTGAACGTGTCTGTTTTGTGTTGGTGCGTGTGGTGAATGATGTGTAAGCAATGGTTAAGTGTGATACGGGTCACAGGACCTGAAGAGCATACAGTGAAAAGGCGCGTTTACAGAGTGTGTGTGTGTTTCCAATTCTGCCACTGAAGGATGTTTGTAGAGAGCTTCAAACAGCCCATCAGTGCTCGTACTGACAGAGATACATCTTTATATGTAAAATAAATAATGATATGGTGTGTGTGTCTCAGGGTGAGTGATGAGAAAGATGCTCGGGGCTACCTGCAGGCTCTGGCCACTAAGATGACAGAAGAGCTGGAGGGGCTGAGAAGCAGCAGCCTGGGAGCGAGAGCCACGGTAAATAAACACGTCGTCTGTCTGCTGCAGAACTAAAGGAAATCCCTTCTTGTTGTTGTTGGTAGAAACTAGTTCAGTGATTATACATTTTAAAATGATGAAGCCAAAGTGAATGAATATCATCAAAGAAGCCAGTCTTTCACTCTTACACTGACAGGTAAGTCGAGCAGCGGTGAGTCCCTTTCTGTCTGGTGATTCGCTCAGTTTCTGCTTCTGTCTCCGTTTCAGGACATGCCGTGGAAAATGCGGCGTTTGGCCAAGCTGGACATGTCTGCGCGCCTGGAGCTGCAGTCGGCCCTGGACGCTGAGATCAGGGCAAAGCAGAGCATCCAGGACGAGCTGAACAAAGTCAAGGCCGACAACATTTCCACAGAATGGTATGACTGCTGAACTTTTTTAAAAACAACTTAAACCAACTTTTGCTAAACGACAGCTAACGTATCATTGTGTCTGATCGATCAGTAAACTGCAGGAAGTTGGAAGTAAAAACCAGGAACTGCTGGCTGAGATCGAGCGTCTGAAAAAGGAGACGGAGGAGCTGCGGCTACGGCGAGGTGAGCACGCGTGCTGTGGCTGAGTGGGCGCTGTGCACTGAAACCGTTGGAGATTATCACACTGCAGGAGGGTTATGCAGCAATCAGACGCTCGGGACTCTTAATGTGTACAGACAAATGTATTGTTGCTTGGGGCTCATGAATGTGCGCCCCAGCTCTTTGAGGCGGTCCTGTGACTCGTGTAAGTCACCCTTTGATGTTTTGATATTGTGTTCTTAACAATGGTTGTGTTGTTTGTCCTGTGACTACAGGTGTCAAGCACCAGGATTCCCAGAATTCCTTCTTGGCTTTTCTCAACGCCCCCACCTCAGCTCTCGACCAGTTCGATGTAAGCATTACAGAGAAAATCTGGTTACGAGCACAACAACTGAAAGATTCAAATCCATGACTTTCAAGACTCTGCTCTCCATTAAGATGTTTTCTTCACGCTTTCATTATTTATTTTTCACCAGTTTTTATTTTTGTTTTGTCTTTTGTTTTCCTCACATCACTTCCTGCTACACAAGGATTCTTATTCCTCATCCTCATCTTCTTTAATTGAGTTTTGGGAAGATGTAAGTTTATCTTGGTTAGTTG